GGATCTAGGACAGTGATGGCAAACCTTTTGAGTTTGGCGTGTAGCATTTTGGAAAAACCCTAACTTAACTCTGGTGCCGTGTCACATATAGAAATTTTTTGATATTTGCAACCATAGTAAAACAAAGATTTATATTTTTGATATTTATTTTATATATTTAAATGCCATTTAACAAAAATCAACCAAAAAAATGAGTTCGCGTGTCACCTCTGACACGCGTGTCATAGGTTCGCCATCACTGATCTAGGACATGGAGTTTCTTAAAGTTCTGTGTGTTTTCACACGAGGTTCCCTCTGCCTGAAAAGGGTTTCTCCACTTTTTTTTTTTACCTTAAATACAACTACAGTTCCTTCAAATGTCATTTCCTCCAGGAAGCTGCCTTTAATACCCTGATCCAGTGTAAACTGTCTTTCTCTCTTATCTCCTCTCCCATCTCTGAACAATTTGAAGACAGAGACTCTCTTTTATCTTTGCTTCCAGCACAATACCTAGCACATAATGACTGCTAAGTTAAATTTGTTGGGTGAAAGAGGAGTCTTGCTGGGCTAGCATGATCTCACTCCCTCTGGGAACTTGTTACTCTTCTATAGTTTTTCTCTCTCCCTTTTCCATTGTCCTCAGATATGGATCAGCCATCCTCTAACATTTTATAAGATAGTATGGTCCTCTAAATTGTCTCCCTTTCCTCCCTCCCCCTGCCAATCTCCAACCTTCCTATTTATCCTAATAGTCCCGCTTAGGTACTACCTTGTCTGAAACATTACTCGACCAGCTCAGCCAGAAATGACTTTTTAAACACTCATACATGTAATTTATTTGGTGTCCCACATTGCCTAATATGGTAGTTACTCCTCTACAATGTAAAGCGCTGCCTTACATACGAAAATGCATGTGTTAGAGACCTACAGCTCATTCTCAATATATGGGTCACAGTCACCTTCCCTATCATTATGCTCTGAGACGTCAACATTGGGGACTTCACATTTACTTGATTGCATCAACGTCACTGGCTTTTATAGCCATGCCATATCTGCCACCAATTACAATTATCATAGGCTAGAGCTCATGATAACCTATAATTTCTCCACCTTCCTAGATACAAATTGAAATTTGCCTCTCATTGCAACCTCCTACTTTTCTGCCTCTCAGTCACTCCCACCAAATCTGAGCTTTGTATGTCTCATGACCATTTGGTCAACTCCTTTCTATTCTCCCAATTTATCAATCGTATTCTGTCTTTCCTAAAGAGCCTAGATGCCATGGTCAGCTATTTCAACAAACCAATCTAGACTTCTTCATTGTCTTCTCTGTTCTTTCTTTACCAATCCTTTTGTCCCAGTTAACTTTGGCTATCTGTTTTCTCCACTCCAAGGCAGCCAGGAGTTACTGACCAAAGTCACAAAGCCACACTGGTTGCGACTACCTACCACAAACTCATACTTATCTAATCCCAGCTAGATCATTCTTGCTGTTTTGAATTATTCCATTTTTTATTTATTGATTTGAGAGAGAGAGTGGGGGAGAGGGAGGAAGAGAGATTTGTTGTTCCGCTTATTTATGCATTCATTCATTGGTTGTGCCCTGACTAGGGATCAAACCCGCAATCTTGGCATATTGGGACAATACTCTAACCAACTGAGCTACCTAGCCAGCATGAATTATTGCTAATTTCTTTTTTTAATATATTTTTATTGCTTTCAGAGAGGAAGAGAGAGGGAGAGAGAAATAGAAACATCAGTGATGAGAGAGAATCATTGATTGGCTGCCTCCTGCACACACCCTACTGGAGATTGAGCCCGCAATCCAGGCATGTGCCGTTGAATCCAACTTGGGACCTTTCAGTCTGCAGGCCTATGCCCTATCCACTGAGCCAAACTGGCTAGGGCTTATTGCTATTTTCCATAGAGCTGTTTCTATCCCCATTTCTCCTAGATCTTCTATCCACCCAATCATCCTTTATATTCTCAAGAGATAGACTGGCAAGGCCATTTAATGTGACTTTCTTACGTGTTTAGCCACTTCGAAATCTCTCTGTACATTTCTCCTCCAACTCTTCCTTTATAATTGCCAAAACCAACCTGTCTGCCTCTCTCCCTCTTGATCTAATGATCTCCTGTGACTTTAATTATTTCATTATCTCCTCTTTAAAGTGGATAATTACATTTTTAGTTTCTCTCTCAATTAGCCCCTCTCCTTTTCTGAAAGCATGCTTGAGTCTTGCCTAACCTCCAAAAACTAAAATCTTTTGCTGCTTCCTCTTCAATTCATTGCCCTAATTTACTTGCTGTTAAATATTGCTACCACCTCCCCACTCTTTAACCACTTGCAATTAGCTTTTGTCCCCTCCATCTTTAACTTCTCTGTCACTTCTCTCCTGGTTCTTATCCTTACCACTCTGATCATTTGTCTGTGACCCTGGCCAATTTTCCCCAAGTTTCTGTCTTGGGACTTATTCTTTCTCTTTTCTCCTTTGATGATCCCATCTACTTACACAACTTTACTAATATTTACGTGAAAGGGGCCAAATTTTATTCATATTTAGCTTTTACTTTTCTCCCCAACTCCAAATTTACATTTTCTAGAACCCGAAAATTTTAGATATGGAGGCATTCTCAGAGGTCATGTATCCTAAGTCTTCATCGCCTAGGTATCTCTACCAAATGGCTCTCTGGCTTTTAAAAAAGGCAGTGTTTCTAAAACTGACCACCTCATTTTCTCGCTGCTTCCAATTCCATTCCCAAATACTCCTCTTCTTGAATTTATTATTTCTACATCAGTCACCCTGAGGCACACAGCCTCCTTTTCCTGTATTCAATCAGTTACTAATCTAGTAGGTCCTATTGCCACAGACTCTTAATTATATTCACTGTTTTCTCTTCTAAACAGCCATTTCTAGTTTAAATACTACATACTTCCTTGCAGTGGACTCCTGAATAGACCACCCACCTCTAGTCTAGTATCTTTCTACTTGAAATTCTGAATTATTTTTGTTCATTACCACCAAATTAATCTTTCTAAAGAGCAGTTCTGACCTGCCACTCTCTGGCCTAAAAACCTTAAATGTCTCTCATGGATTACTAAATTATTCACAAGTTCCTTATCCTGTTATTCAAAGTCTTCCATGTTCTGGACTCAGTTCTATTTTTCTAGCCTTCATGCTGTGCCCATCACCCAGAATATCCTTCCTTCATCTTTACCTAGCAAACTCCTAAGTTCTTTAAAGCTATTTGAAATAAAGGTATCTGAAATACCACTTCCATCACAGTCTTTTTTTTCACCCTAAACTGACTCTGAGCCTTCCTTTGAACCCCTATCACACATTATTAACAATTTTATTTCAGTACTTACCAAATTTTGCCTTGTATGATAATCTGTGTATTCCAGTGCTCCTCAAACTTTTTATTTTATTGTCTGAAGTTTTACATATGTCTCCTTTTCCCCCAATTGACCGCCCCCGCCCCCCAGCCATTCCCATCCCGGGCAAGCCCCCATCGCCCCAGTGTCTGTGTCCATTGGTTATGCTCCTATGCATGCATACAAGTCCTTTGGTTGCTCTCTAACTCCCGCCCTACCCTACCATTTGTCTCTGGATCTATTCTTGTTCATCAAATTATGTTGATCATTATATCCCACATATGAGTGAGATCATGTGATATTTATCTTTCTCGAACTGGCTTATTTCGTTTAGCATAATGCTCTCCAGTTCCATCCATGCTGTTGTAAGTGGTAAAAGTTCCTTCTTTTTTATAGCAGCATAGTATTCCATTGTGTAGATGTACCACAGTTTTTTAATCCATTCATCTGCTGATGGGCACTTAGGCTGTTTCCAAATCTTAGCTATTGTAAATTGTGCTGCTCTGAACATAGGGGTGCATATATCCTTTCTGGTTTCTTGGGATATAGTCCTAGAAATGGGATCACTGGGTCAAATGGGAGTTCCATTTTTAACTTTTTAAGGAAACTCCATACTATCTTCCACAGTGGCTGCACCAGTCTGCATTTCCACCAACAGTGCAGGAGGGTTCCTTTTTCTCCACATCCTCGCCAGCACTTGTGCTCCTTTTTAGAAGTGCACCTAGTTAACAGAAAAATGAACTGATAGCCAAGACTACCTGTCACAAAAGCTGCCTGGAAAATTAAATTTTAATATGAATTTTACAGTGTTATTAGTATTAGACTAATGTTTGTTTTCAATATAAAAAATGATGTGACTTAACACTCCAGGAAAATGGGTCTATTTCATTTGAGGGACTTAGGGTCCACCTGGAACACTGGGAAAACCCTCCCCACATGCTCACTAACCTAAGGGGAGTGAATGCCTTGCTATATATGAAACCCCTGTAAAACGAATACAGTGCCATCTACAAACGCTCAAGAAATATTGACCTGTGACTCGGGATAGGTTAACTAGTGTTAACTGTATTTACTAAATGTTTACCCTTAGAACGGTGCTCTGTTTCAAGGAGCTTAGTCCAAGTCCATAGTATAAAACTATACATAAGAGTTAAATCATAAAGCCCAAGTCATTTGTGTTCTGCAAAAGACTCAGACTGGGAACTCGGTCTCTCTCTCGGTCCCACACCAAGTGTCACATCGGAATCGTGCTGAGTTCCACTTCCAAGTCCACTCTGACCTCCCAGTTGTTTTCTGGAGCTCGATGACTTTCTGCCAACACTGTGCAAAGCTTACTCCTCTCCACCTGGAAATAAAGGTTTACATCCTTCCGCTCTCCGTTTTAAGTTCAGCCAAGGTTCCCGGGAGAGGGGCCGTGGAGCGGAAGGCAGCCGGGTCCCACCAAAGGAACAAATCTGCCAAACCGAGCAGCACCGCCCCCGACCTTTCCCCACGGCCTCCCAATTGGTCCTTGTGGCTCCGGATTGGTGTTCCAGCTTGCCCGTCCCCTCCATAGACCCCACCTCTAGCCAGCGACTATTGGTAAACCGTTACGTCATTGGCCCATCTACCTCACTCCTATTGGTTCCCATAGGCAGGGGCGGTCGCAACGTCACAGGCGAGGGCCGCCATTTTAACTGAGCAACCCTAGTGACAGAAGCCGAAGGAGCAGCGCAGGTTGTCCCCATTTCCCCTCCCCCTTCCCTTCTCCGTTTGACTTCCCGGGCCCCTTACACTCCACAGTCCCGGTCCAGCCATGTCTCAGAAACAAGAAGAGGAGAACCCTGCGGAGGAGACCGGCGAGGAGAAGCAGGTGAAATGGAGGGGGTGCGGGCGAGCGAGCCGGGGGCGACAGTGATGGGGCGGGAGACGGTCTCCCACCCGTGCGGATTGGTCGCCCTGATCTCAGGCTCTGCAGGGGTTGGCCACTTCTTGCGTCACGCCGAGTGAGCGTCAACGCGACTTGCTGCTTTGGCGCTGGTTGGTTGGGTCGATTGTCAGTCAGTGCCTTACCCTTCCTCATTGGCCAAGAAGCCTACCGCTCAGCTCCTTCAAGCTGTGCTATAATTGGCCGAGCTTGGGCGCGGGGCGGGTGTTTGGAAAGACTGGGTGAATGAAAGGGGGCTGGTGGTCCCTGGCTGTGATGTGTATTATGGGTTATTAGGGGTAAATAACACGACTACCAGGCTGGGGCCTGCATCCTAAATCCTTCGAAAGCTACAGGTTGAGGTAAAGACGTTTAAAAAAAGGACCAGCATTGGGGGAAGGGAGAAGAGTAATCACCATGGTTAAAGGCGGCAATTTTATCAAGATAACCTATTTTGACGATTGGGAATGGTCTGTTGCCCATCTTCCGTGAGGACGGAACAAGAGTGAAGAGAACTGAAGTCCCATACAGAATCATTGAGGTTAAATTTAGAAAAGACACCAGGAGAATCGTGACAAGAAAGACGCCACTCTATCACCCTGTTTCCCCCAGTCTTCCAAGGCAGCGAGACTTAGTTCCCCCGCAATTCTGTGATGAAAACACGCCAATTAGACCTCTGCTTGGGAGTTGTATTTGACTTACAGCATTTCGTACTGGGTTCATGACATGCACCTGATGTTATACCTGTGCAGGAATACCAAGGAGAGGTAATATAATCCCACCAAGAAGAGCCAAGAGTGGCTTTAGATTATTTTAAAAAGTTACCGAAGAAAAGGGCAGCGGGGCCCACAAAAAGCCAGGAGCGTAGACAGTGAGAGCCGCTGCAAGCCAGTTGAGCTCCTGTCATGTTCCCCAGCTGCCATCACTAGCCCCATGAGGGTTGGTGTTTACTTTTTGGCAAAAACTGGGTAAATGCTAGTGAACCTACTGTATCTTCATTTTCCCGAGATTAAAAATAGGGTCATTTTCATCTCTGTTTACCTACCACCTCCCTGCCACATGTTTATGGAAATGCTGAAGCAATGTCCTCCCATTACTAAGGTGGAGATTTTTGGAGAAGGCTGCGTAGCTCTAGCCTCCTCCACAGAGAGACTTCTCAGATGACTATCTTCGATTCTAAATAGGGAGGGAGGGAGCATTTCAGCAGAATTATCTGTCCCTTTTGCTTTCCCATTTGACCTGTACTGTGTGTTAGTCAGCAGCCAGGGTGCTTTCCTACTCATCATGTGTCACCAAAAAGCCTTGGCTGGTTCTTTTCTCTCTCTGTCTTTCCTAGCTTCTGTGCTGAGTGAGCCATGGCTTGCTCAGTGATTAACTAGGTATTACCTTTAACCCAGTACTCACAGGTCACCGAGGTGGTTCCCGGGGTAGTGTGTGAGAAGCACCTTGTCTTTTCTTCTCACGATACAGTGTTCTTGAGCTTTAGGAATCTGAACAAAGGTCTAGCTTTATTTGAGAGTAGAGTGGAAATAGCACGTGTACAAGTAAGTGGATCTTCAGGGGGGAAAAATAGTATACAGGTTATCAAATATTAGAAGCAGTTGCTTCTCAGTCTTTAATTTTATCTGCCCATTTGTTCCTTCCAGGACACGCAGGAGAAAGAAGGTATTCTCCCTGAGAGAGCTGAGGAGGCAAAGCTAAAGGCCCAAATATCCAAGCCTAGGACAGAAGCCTGGAGGCTCCGACTTCCTCATGAAGAGACTCCAGAAAGGGGTATGGGACACAATCTCTTACCCTCTTCTTTGGAGCCAAAGGGGATGAGCTCTATAGAGGTTCTACTGAATGCTGACCCGGAAGTTTTGTTGTTTGTTGGGCAGCAGTGGAAAGGAATTAGAAACTTAAAATGAGCAAAGCAAATTATTGTAAATCTCTGATATGGTATCAGTTTATCTTCTGGTTTCCCATATAGGATATTAAGGCTTTATGTGGGGGCATTTGGCTATGGGGGATTTGGGGGATAAAGGAAGGATATTAGAGACTGGAACACTGGCTGCACTAGGCATTGGCCTATTTGGATGGTGGGAATTTTAGGACTGCATTCTTTAGAATTAGAGCTAAAGGTTGTAGGTGCATCATTTCAGAAAAAGATCAAACTATCTGTCCTACAGATTTCCTGAACTTAAAATGAATAGATTTATTCAGACCCTTGAAGTTAGCACAAGCCATTTACTCCTTTCTGTCCAAAGAGGTTCTCTTTACCAAGGGAGAATCCACCTTCATAGCCATCTAGCCCCTGATCAGGTTTCTCAGTCCCCAGAGGTACCTAAACCTACTGAGGGATTGGGAATCATTAAGCCGGAGTGTATTCCTCTGTGGATGAAATGGAGAGTGAAATAGACCCATGAAGAATCCCAGTTGTTGAGTCTTAGCCACAGATGATGATGTGATGCTGAATTGCAGTTTACCTTGCTGTAGGCAAGACAGGCATGGGCAGGCTTTCACAACCATGGAACCTGTGGAGGCAGTGGGAGTCAGGAAAAGTACATCATCCTCATGAACAAGCCCGGTTTCTATTCATGGTCTGAGAAAACCCTTTTCCATTTTGAGGTTGTTGGCTGGAGGTTGATCTGCTGTTTGCTAGGGTAGCCCCAGATTACCCCTTCTTTATATCTGTTTCCCCAGCACCAAATCTGTTGGTGACTAATAGGTCCTCAGCAAGCCTTTATGTATAAAGTCAATAATTTTGTTGAACCATCTTGTGCTGATGAGGCTACAAATGATGTGGCTACAAAGGATGTAGAGGCTATTTCTTAACTCCAAAAATCTATACTCTAGCTGGGAAACTGCTGACATACATTTGGGGAGCAGATACAAGTACATGTAATTAATGCTAAGCTGTGTATGCATGAGATTAATCATGAAAGACTTGAAAGATCTGAGAGTGGATGAGGATTTGTAATGGATGTGGGTCTCCTTGGTTTTGAGGATGGCCAGGGCTCCTCACTCACCTAAACCTCCCTCTTGTCTCTTAGCAAAAGTACTTTGACTCAGGAGACTACAACATGGCCAAAGCCAAGATGAAGAATAAGCAGCTGCCAAGTGCAGGACCAGACAAGAACCTGGTGACTGGTGACCACATCCCTACCCCACAGGATCTGCCCCAGAGAAAGTCCTCGCTCGTCACCAGCAAGCTTGCGGGGTAACCTGGGCCCCTCTTTTCCCCTTCCTCACCCACTGGACTTTTATATATCATAGGCAGGAATGGAATGGGCACCTAGTTAGAGAACTTCTCAGCTTGCTAGCCAGCAGTGACTGTGATTCAGCTGGGGGCTGCTGAGGAGGTAATGTGTGTGGAAGAGGGGCTCTGAGTTCATTTCTTTGGTTAAATTGATATTTCCACACCCTCACTATAGCCCAGAAGTAGGAGACTAGGATTGAGTAATACTGCAGACTTTTTTTCTTCTGTACAAGAAACTGGGGAGACATGATTTCTTTTTCAGAAGAGAGAATCTCAAAATTGGTTAGGCTAAGCCTTGGGAATAATGTGGCAGGTTTTAACATCCAAGGCTAACCTGACATTATGGGGAAAGGTAGATTGAATGAGATCTTTTCTCTGTGCTTCTAAGTGTTTTGTCTTAGGCTGCTATTGCTTCATGTTTCCATTATGGCAGGTTTAGAGAATCCTCAAAAAAGAAAAACTGATTTGCTTGCCTAAAACTACAGTGCCCACTTAACCTCCCTTAGTCAGTGTCTCTTACAGTTTGCCCTGGCTCTTAATGTAAAGATTGGAAAACATTGTATAAAGTGGGCGCTCTCTCTAGCGCTCTCTCTCTCTCTCTCTCTCTCTCTCTCTCTCTATCTCTCACTCTCTTTCTTTCTCTTTCTCCCAGCATGTTGCTTTTGAAAGCATTGTGAGATAGCGGAAGGAGCACTGGTTTAAGAGTCAAGATATCTGGGTTTGGGTCTAGTTCCATGTAGAAGTGATATGTAACCTTGGTCAAGTCATTTAGCCTCTCAGGATTTATTTTGTCATCTGTAAAATAGTTTGAGTATGGATAAAATTGATTATGACTTTAGAATTCTGTAACTGCCAGTTGGAAAACGCTGCTATTCTTTGTAAAACTAATGAGGCAGGCCCATCAGTGATTTGCCTACACAGGGGAACCATTGGAAGACTACATGGGGAGAGAGGAAGTAGAGATGGGGGCAGGGGGTGGGTGGGGGGGATTGAATTCAGGCAAGAGGACCTCATAAATATCATGGTGATAGGGTTGAAAAAAAGTTCTAAGCAGCTAGCCATGGAAGCTCCTGCCTCTGCCCAACCCACTTTTCTAGCCTGCAGTCTGCAGCTCTGCTGCTAAAAAGGCTGCTCTGGCAGCTGAGCTGTGGGCCTGAGGAAACATGCTCAGTCTTGCACATATGGAGGCCCATGTTTCTGATGTAATCGGATGCTAGGTGTATTGTTAGGGAGACAAGAAGAAAAGGGATGCACTGAGCTAGCCTCTAGGGCTTAGTACTACAGCAGGGCTGGAGTAGCAGGTTCTTCGGAGAGAATTCAAGTTGAAGAACGCTGGGGAAGGTGGTTAAGGAGCGAAAAGGAACACAGAAATCTCTGCCTTCCTAGAGCTCAGTAACCCGGCACCTGTTTGATGAGAAGCAGCAGTGCTGATTGATGAATGTGTGGAGGAAAGGGGTTGCAGTTGGCCAGCATCTTCAGTCTAGTTATCACTAGCTTGGCCTGAATCTTACTGAATGCAACCTGCTCGTTATGATAGAGAGAGTCAGGGTGAGAACTAACTGTTCGAGAGAGCAAGATTCGTAATCCTCTCTTGCCCTCTCACAAATCCTGATAGGCCAAACATTTGGCCCAATGAGAACGTCTGATGAACTTGATGGGGTGCATGTGCGGGGATGGGATGCGTATAGACTTCTCTCCTGACCAGCCACCCACTTTTCAGGCTGTCATTCAGATTGGATAGGAAAAAGTTGGTGAGGGAGGAATGGAGAGAGCAGGACCCCTGAATTCCTTGGCCCCCAGACTCCTCGACTGTCACTTGTAATTGTATATGATTTTTGTGTTTCTTGCTCCATTTCCTCATGCTGTCTTCCTTAGTCTAAAATCCACGTGGGAAGGGGAAAATGCCGAACATCCTTGTATAGTTTCCTCAACTGTCCCAGCCATGTTGTACATAGATATGTCATGTTATTATATATATAAATATATATATAATTTTGTACGTTTTCTTCATCTCTGATTTTCTCAAATTTTGTACTTTTTTTGTTTCTGTCTGAGCCACTTTCTCTATTGGTCAATTTGAATACTCAAAACTGAGGTCACAATGAGTCTGGTATTAGGAAGGAATAGAAGAAATAGGGAGATCAGAAAACTGTTGGTCTCTCTCTTCATCTGGTCATAGTCTAGTTTAAGAAAAGACTCAAGCTACATTCTGTGTTCACCACATGTTTCCCCAGCATGAAGTACATAAGTCCATGGCAAAGAAAAATCCAAATCCCAGTTGCTTTGATTAAACCTAGATTATTAAATCCA